ATATGTATATGTACATACATTATTTTTTATGATATGTTGAAAATGTTAAATTTTTATGCTGAATCCTTAAATTCTACAAACCATTTGAAATCTCATCCGTTCCCAACACATCTCTCTGGTTGCTGTCCCAGTGGCCAGGTGGTGGTCCTGTCCTTCTCCTCCTTCCCTTCTGTGGAGACTAATACCCCACTGTCACTCTCTAGTATGAGTGTTTCATGCTGTCTCCCCTCTTCCCTGTAGCCCTGCTAACAAACAGCCGGAAATCGCCCCTCGTAGAGCTGGCACAGTAAATAAAAAGCAGCATTCCACGCCTACCTTCCAGCCCCCTCTGCCTCCCATTGACGACGGGGGGGTTTTCGTGTTTGAGCCCTCCCCTCTGTCGCCCACTGGCGGGGGTCTGGAGGCTGGGCAGGCGGGAGCTGCGCTTCCTCAGACCCTTCAGCCTTTAGTTCAGCAGACTGCGGAGAACAGGTAAGGACTGGTGCGACCGCAAAAACCTCACCTCGCCAACCGCTGCCAGATGTCAGGAGCCAGCCGCTGAAATCTGTGTGTTGTGTGCACATCGTTTTGTGCCATTCTCTTGATTATTGCTTCAAAACACTGCTTTAAAATCAGTCAAATGGCTAACAATTGGGTATAATCGCAGAGTAAGGCTATAAACCTTTCAGGAGACCTGGAATGGCAAAAATCAAATGCCGCCATTTGTCGCTGTGTTATGTACATCGTCTTCTTGTGCCATTCTCATGTTGTTTTTGCTTCAAAACACTTTTGAAATCAGAAAATGATCACCGGAAAGCTATAAGCTATTACCACTGGAACCTTGATTAAGATATTTTTTACCCTAAATTTATCTAGACATGGTCATTGCTATATATATATATATATAAATTAAACTGTGAAAATGTAGGGCAAAAAAAAGAACAATTAAATAAATAAAAAAAAAATTTAAATGAAAAGTTTTAAACATTGCTTAATACATTTTTATAGTTGTTGCATGCTGGGATAGTGTGTAGGATTTTTTTGTTTCTAAATAAATAACAAATAAAATATAGTTTATTATTAAAAGTTTATTATGAAGTTATAATTTGTTTTGTTCTGTTTTGTAAAGACTATTCGGAAATCATAAATCATTAGATTAATCCCAATTATTTGTATTTATTTTTTTATGGACAGTTTTATGTATTTCTTCTGGTTTGTTTCCAGCCAGTCTTTTACACCATATTTTTTTTTTTTTTTTTTTTTTTTTTTTTAGGGAGTCCATTCCAAACAACTTGGGGCCCTTGGATTAAAAAAAAAAAAAGTTTTAAAAACCCTGGTCAATATAATAAAGAAAAGTTTCCCAACCTGTTTTCCTGTTTTTGATTAATTAAATCGGGAAGATTGAAGCAAACGCCTCTCAAATATCAAGTTAAAGATAATTTGTCAAATTATCATGCTGATTTATCCCAGTCAGGGCCAAAATCCTTCAAGTGTCTCTTTTCTGTAGAATATTCTCTGATGCTTGAATTTGTGTGTCCTGCCTTGCCTTTCTCTGTTGCTTGTTCTTTCTTTAGTGGAGAAGATGCACTGCATGCGGAATAAAACACTGCTAACTTTGCTAACTGTGTTTCCTTAAAGCATGTCCTATATAATATCTGTATTAACTTTTCAGTGCAAGTCATTAACTGAACATGGACCACTACATTTTACCGTCCCTGCATGTGAACTGACCTGTGTATACATCCTGCAGTGTGACCCCTGATAGAAGTTCCCTGCTTTTCTTCTCTCCCCAGTAACATCGCCCGAGATCCTGCATCCACACCCCCTGCCGTGAGGAACGGCCCGGGAGGTCTGAGTGGGACGCCCGCTCAGCTGAATATGGTGACCCCTACCTCAGGTCCTAAGGGCCCCAGTCCATTCTTGGGCCGCAGAGGTCAGAACTTATTATCTTTCCTCATATCTTTATTCAGATCTATTAGGGATGTGCAATATATTGGTTATCATATAAAAATTTTTTTAACAGTTATCAGTCAATATAGAGTACACTTCCATTTAAAAGTAAAAGAAATTAACAGTTTATTTCAGCAAGGATGCTTTACACTGATCATTATGTATTTAAATATTAAATATAAAAAATATGAAATTTTGAAAACAAAAATATTAAGCGGCACAACTGTTTTCAACCTTGATAATAATAAGGAATGTTTCTTGAGCATCAAATCAGTATATCAGAGAGATTTCTGAAGGATCATGTGACACTGAAGACTGGAGTAATGATGCTGAAAATTCAGCTTTGCATCACAGGAATGAATTACATTTTATAGTATATTCAAATGGAAAACAGTTAATTTAAAGTGTAATAATATTTCACAATATTACAGTTTTTACTGTATTTTCGATATAACAAATTCAGCCTTGATGAGCATAAGAGACCTTTTTCAAAAACAAAAATAATTCTCTTGAACAGTAGTGTATATATTTGTGTATATATTATTTTTTTATGTGTTACATATTTAATTTTGCATGCTCATTTCCCCAATTTTTACATTTACATTACTTTTACTAACTTAATCTTTAAAATAATAATTTAGATTTAATCATTAGCAAGTCTCAAAATTAATATCCATTTTTATACTCTATACATTATAATGTTGTCATGCCTAAGTTCACTTGTAGCATTTAAAAAGGATAGATTTTTATGTTTGTATTGTGTTTTTAATCAAAATTAAATTCAAAATTAAATAGAAGCGAATTAATTAAAATGTCATAATCAGTGCATCCTTAAAGGGATAGTTCACCCAAAAATATAAATTCTGTCATTAATTACTCGCCCTCATGTCGTTCCAAACAGAACACAAATTAAGATATTTTGATGAAATCCGAGAGCTTTCTGAACTGCATAGACAGCAACTCAGCCGACACGTTAAAGACCCAGAAACATAGTAAGGACATCGGTAAAACAGTCCATGTGACATCAGTGGTTCAACAAATAAAATATCTTAATTTGTGTTCAGAAGATGAACAAAGGTCTTACAGGTTTGGAACGACATGAGGGTGAGTAATTAATGACAGAATTTTCATTTTGGGTGAACTAACCCTTTAAAATGCATGTTGTCAATCATGTCTGGACCGTTTGTTTTCAGGTACAAAGAAACAAGCCCCAGCACCTCCCAAACAGAGCGTAAAAGCTGCTCCTAAATCCAGGCCCCCAGCCACCCTCCTCCTCAGCCTCCTCCCCAGAGCACAGAAGAAGCCGAACCGTCCCTTCCCAGAACGCCCACCCCTCCCGGTACACCTCCTCACGACGGCTCCCAGCTGCGCCCCAGGCCCACCCCTCGAGCACGACCCAAACCCAGCGGCCCGCCACCACCACAACCATCTAGCGACGGCGCCAACGGTGTCTGTGTTTCTGGATCCAAGATTATCTCAGGTAAGGAAAATCATGAAAAAACTCCAACAACATGCTGACATTTTTGCACAAAAAAACGATTAATAATAATAAAAAACACATTTTTGTTATTTTATAAATAAATTATACCATTGTTTAGAATTATAATTATGTAATAATATTAATACATTATATTCAAATATAAATCCTTAAATATTAAATATACATATTTCGGGGGTTTTTTACATTGAAAAATGTTTTTTATTTAATTTATTAATATGAAATAAAACCAAAATCTTTTACAATGTCCAGCCAATGTAATTATAATAAATAATAATGGAAATTTTATTTATTTTTTATTTCATTTTATTTATTATATGATTCATTATTTCATTTTATTTGTAAAAATACAACATATGAGCAAAATGTTGTACATTGTGTAGCCAATGTAATTATAAAAATGATCATGGAAATAATTAAATACTTTTATAAAAAAAAATTATTATAATCATTTTAAAATGATTAATTGTTTCTATTTATTTCTAGAAAATACAAATACAGCATATGACCAAATTGCAAGCTATATGGTAGCATCCAGATATTTTTTTTTCATTTCATCTTTTTTTCTTCATTAATAAAAATATGGAAATTCAAACGAAAATAGCATATTTATCCTTTTCCTGAGGTCAAATGCACACAACTACAGAAATGGACTTGTCTGTACAAACCTGATGGGAACGTCAAGCACTCAGTGGATGTCATTTGCACTCTCTTTGATTGTTTCATTATGACACATTTCTACAGCTCAATCAACTCTAATATGGAAACACACTCGTCTAGAGTCTGTATAAACGGCAGGTGTTCAGTGTCAGTCTATTGTGGACCTCAGAAAGCCCAGCACTCGCCCCTGCCAAACAACTCTCCTGAGGGTTTGCCTCCATTAAGCTCATTTAACATGACGAAAGAAACTTGCAGATGCTGTTGGAGACTAAAAACCTCCATCTTCAGATTATAAAGTTTTGAAACAATCCCAGATCCAGAGTTAACAAGCTTTATTTTCATAAGTAGACTTGTCAGGATGGATGTCGTACACAGTGTGCAAGTGTTAGCAGCATACAGCAGTGGTGTTTGAGCGATAAATCTTTAATACAGGACAAAACAGGTCTTTTTGTTAACTGTTTTACGCATTACTTACTGTATAGTTGTGTCAAATTTTATATTTAACATTTATATTTAAATATACAATATAAAGGTTGCGGAATTATTTGATTGTCACAACTTTCAAGATTTTGTTGCCTCGATCCTTTAAAGGAATGTTCCATGTTAAATTAGATAATAATAATAATAAGGTTAAAAATAAATATTAATAATGATTTTATTTTATAAATAATAAAGTGTAATAAAGGTTAATTAAATAGAAGTTAAGCTCTATAGACAGCATCCATGGGATGTAGAAAATACCTCTGAATTATAAAATGGAAATTATTTTTAAATAAAAAACTACTAATAATTTAAATTCTATTTATAATAATAATAATAACAACAACGATAAATATGAAAAGAAAGAAAGGTTCCAGGTTAAATAGAAGTTAAGCTCTATGGACAGCATTCATGGCATGTAGAAAATACCTATCTACACTGAACAAAATTATAAACGCAACGCTTTTGTTTTTGCCCCCATTTGTCATGAGCTGAACTCAAAGATCTAAGACTTTTTCTATGTACTCAGAAGGCCTATTTCTCTCAAATATTGTTCACAAATCTGTCTAAATCTGTGTTAGTGAGCACTCCTCCTTTGCCGAGATAATCCATCCACCTCACAGGTGTAGCATATAGAGATGCTGATTAGACAGCATGATTCT